ATTTTTTTTTTTTTTTACTTTTTAAATTTAATTTTTACAATTTAAAAAAAAAAAAAATATTCAACAACTCTCTAATTGTGAAAAGGAAATCTGGCCATATCCGTCACATTTCCCAGTTGGAGCGTGCAGTTTGCGTGTAGATCTCCAGCACTTTCCCGCAAGATCATTGTCTGAAGAGTATTTTTTAGGTAGCGTTTCTAATAGTTTAAAAAAAAGAATATAATTAGCGCAAAAGCAATCAAGAAGAATCGAATGTAGCTCATTTACAGAACTTGAGAATCTTTCTTAAATCTGATCTCGGATAAATTAAATTAATTTGATTTTTTTTTCGTTTAGTTGTCTTGTTCAGTTCACAACTTATGTCTATATTTAATAAATATTAATTAATGCAATTAACTAATAAATTGAGACAAGGCTATTACAACTCTGAGCACTCAAGGCTTAATTTTAAAATAGATTCCCAGAGCCGCCAGGGGTTAAGTATCCGTTGTGATGGTTTACTTACAGTTGAGTTTAAAATTTAAATAAAAGGTTGTTTTAATAAGGGAGGGTGGGGGTGGTAAGATTTTTTAAAAAATGTTTAGGGATCTTAGCATCATTATATTTTGTTAAATTGTTAACTTAGCATTATTTAATTGATATTTTTTATTAAGTCAAGTTAAGACTGAGTCAGTACACTAGTATAAGAAGTAGCCATGCATGTAAGTAAGCAGTGTATTTGTAAGACTAGAAGAAGCATTTAGTATGAATACCAAGCCTCTACCAGGTGTGAACCTCAACCACCCCCCCCCCTTTTTTTTTTCTTCTTCTCTATCTTCTGAGTGTATTGGCTATTGGTAGTATTTTTATCCTTGGGTTTTGAAAAAAAAGAATCACATGACATCCACTACGTCTACAGTATTCTAAAATGATGTGTGTTACTTATGTCATGTGAAAGCTTCGTACAGGGAAAGGAATCTTTAGAAATTATTGGAATTTATTATCTAGGACAAGAAAAGATGATGAGATTTATAAATTAAATGGGTAGACAGGGTGCTATGGAAAGTCATATCTGAAACATAACATAATTGCCAATTTCGTTATAAACTTTTTTTTTTTGGTATGACAGAAATAATGTGTTTAAAATGTCTGATTAATAAAAATCTAGCCCATCTAAGGAAGATAATTTTTTCCATACCCTAGACCCAAGTTGTTAAAATATCATACATTTTTAAAATTCAATGATAAAATCTTCTTATTCATGTGAAAGCAGTGTATTTTTAAAAATGTAATGCTTTCATGGAATTAGGTATTACATTTGCCTTCATTAGGTACTTTGCAAATGACATAATTTCATTATATAAAAATTGCAAATTAACAGAACCAGTTTGAAAAACTAATTTTTAGTATTTGTGCATGATATGAAAAAATGCTTTTTACAATAGATGACTTTTTAATGGGATTCAATAAATGTAAAAGTAGAATCATTAAACATATGTATTATGTTGAAGAGGCTACAAATATTAGTGTTAACACTATAAACTGTAAATCTACCTCAATCATACTCAATGAAAAGCTGACTGAAGACACCAAATTCATTACTACTTTCTCAGAAGCTTTAACAGTGATGCCTTCTAACTCAGACATTTGTGATGGAGGGATGACAACAGCAACTGGGTTGCTGGACACGTCAAACACAGGAAACTTTAGCAGGCGCGATGCTGCTGCATTAACAAGCCGAAATACGATGAAAACAGAGCTTGACTCCGAAGAGGCAGGAGCCATAAGTGCAGAGTTTCAGGTTTTTGTTTTTATCTTAAAATTAAAAAAACATATTTATTTTAAAAGTGTTTAAATTATGGCCTGATGGATTAACCGTAAAAGCAACCCTCAAATTTTAATTGCTTCTATTGTTTTGAAGTTGCTTAACATAAATAATTTACTCACAGAGAAAAATTAGGAAAACTTTAACAGTCATTATTTGGCTTTACTGTTCCCGATGCCACTCCCCCTTCTCACTGAATATTTTGTCAAAACAGGAGAGCGGCAGTCTACTGGCCCCACTTAGCGGTGAGATACCAGCCTACTCCATACTGCTATACAGACAGGGATCAACCCCAGTACAAGAGGAGGGGCTGGATCAGTTTATGTAATCATTCAAGATATTTATAGACCAATCTAACCTAAAATATTAACTATTGGAGTTTTAAATATCTAATTTTACTTGCTAGAGGTCTCATGCCTACATTTTGTCTGAGGAAACCTGTTGGTACTGGTTATTTGCCAACCTAAAATTCCTCTGTAAGGGTGCTTCTCTATCCTAAGAGTTTGACCAGCTGACCATTTAGGAACAGAATCTGGGTAGAAGGGAAGTGGGACAGGGGCTGGTAATTTTTCTGGGTATGTTGCTACATGGCTCGCTTCACACATTGACAAGAATTGCTTGGGTATGACCAGTTTGCCATGAAGACGTTGGTAGCCTCGGCTCTCTAAGTACTTGGATTTGTAAACTCGTATGAGTACTGTGTATCCACAAACAATGACCCCTTAAGACATTTATTTCTAGAATGGCTGCTGGGGAGATTGGGGTCAGAGCCAGTAGTAAAATGAAGTAGGTGACACGTTTTTTTAATGAAAGTCACATCATCTTTACATTTTATTTTTTAAAAATGACTGCTTTCTGTAAATATAAAATTCTAGAATTTAATTAGATATTACTGTTGATTATAATTATACATATTTGATTTCTTATAAATTTACACCTTCCATCAGCAACATAACATACCTTTCATTTACTCAAATAAACAAATGAGTGCATCAGTAAATTTGGTATAACTATGGTATAAAATATATTATGTCCAGACTGGATTAAAGTAAAGCTTGGCATTAGTGGTCTTAACTTTTGTCACAGGCCGCAAGCATCCAGTCAGTCTCTGAATCCCTCTAGCACACCTTTCAAAGTACAGTCCTTTCTGCTAGCCCAAGGCCAAACTCAATCTCAGCCATTTCTTTCATCCGGCCTCTGCCAGCCAGTGATAAGCTCCAGTCAAATTACCAACAATATGGTTATAAATCCTCAACAGATGGATCCAGTATGGTAAGCCACAAACACTTTGATTCCATTATTCAAAGCCAAACTTTTTTGCTACACATTGATGTTTTGATTTTTGTCTAATAGTAGGTTATCTTGGTTAACAGATGGTTACATATTTTTACAACAGTGAATTCTCAACATTGCAGTGTATCACTGAGATCAGATGAAAATGTGACCTTTATTTACATTTAAATTTTACTCTTGGTGTTTGAAGCATCAAGCTATCTTTCACACTTTGTTTTCAATGGAAATTTAAAGACAGCAGCTTGGCTACAAATTTCTAATAAAAAATATATGATTTCATGTGTAATGATATATATAAATAAATTCATATGTCATGTATCATTCCAGATTTTGGAACTACCAATACCGGTACTTGTGAAAGTGATCTCTAGACCTTTATGCCATTTTCCAGGTTGCAGATACTGTCCAACATTTTAGCCAAACCATTAGACAACAAAGGAGAAAACAGTTCCTTTGTATCAGAGGATTATCCAGGTGTCTGCCATGTACCTAAAGCAGGCGTTCCTCATGTCCAAGGCAGGGCCAATGAAGTGAAGAATAGTTGTGAGACTTTTGGAGCTGAACCAAAGCTGAGAGTACAGCTTGCCTCTAAGACTGCCTCTAAACAGCCAAGTCAAGTAAAAAATGTATCACTCAATGTTCCCAAAGGTACACTACTATTTATCATTTAAATTTTGATTTAAAATTATTGTGAAATCAACTAACAGCTTTTTAATACTGACACTCACTGAGATGTTAACTTTCTACTCATCAAAGCTAATTTTTACACTGCTCTATAGATTATGATACATCATATTTTATAGGAATACAGTATTGTAATTTATTGTAATGCCAATGTCATACTTTTATATCTCCCAGGCCAATTCGTCCTATTGTCCCCGATGTCCAACAGCCCGAAAATCCAGGTCAGATCACTCCCACCTACAGTTCAGCAGGCTTCCACCAATGTAAGCTTCCCATCTCTTAACAACAAGGTAAGATTGTAGCTCAAGTGGCTGTGCCTTACAAAAAAAATGCTTTTATTTAGAGTTGTTAAATCTAAAGAAGGAACTTAACAATAAACAAATTTGAAAAGCTATACAATACTGAATAACTATCTGAGAGTAATAAATTATGTAGACTTGTTATGAATTCATCATTCTTAAACTTCCCCAGTTAAACACTGTCGCTAGTCGCTACATCAACCTTAACAGCAGTGGGGAGGAGAGCCAGCATCCAAGCCCACTGACATTAGACCACATGGGAAAGGTAGAAATGCATCACTTAAAATCAAAGACTGGCTTTTTAAGGGTTTTATTATTAAGGGAAATTTTTTTTTGTAAAAATCTATCTGAACAAGATTAAAAACAGTTTTTAATTTATCTAGTTATTGCTCTGTGCTCTCAAAGAAAAATCTGGTCTGTTTTCAGCTCAAACCCATTGAGTTATCTGGTTAAGGGAACATTCCAATAATGTGGAATTATAATGCAATGATGTACTTACTAAGTATTGTCAAAATTTATAAATTGCTAATATTATATAGATTTTCTGTCTATCTCTCTGAACTGTTGCTTCCTTACATCCCCACAAGACAACTACGTTCTTCCATTGACAGTAGAACCCTCTCAATCCCAAGAACTAAAACTAAGACCATCGGTGAACGCTCCTTCTGCTTCCATGGGCCCACGTTCTGGAACCAGCGCCCCTTCCATATACGTCATAGTGAAACCTCGTCCATTTTCAAAAAGTCCCTTAAAACTCATCTGTTTAGGTCCGCCTATGACCTGTGATGCACCCTCCTTGCCCTACCTAATTTTCTGTTTCGGTTTATTCTATAGAATAGTAGTTACTATCCTAGTGTCTCATTTGTATTTACTTAGTTTACATGTTTTAATAATTGTAAAGCGCTTAGAGCTTTATGATAAGCGCTATATAAAAATGCCTAAATAAATAAATAAATAAATATAGATACAGTTATGAAATTTTAATGTTGTTGTTATATATTAAGATTGTGATAATTTATACAGGAATCTTTAAACGACAGTGTAGAGGCCAGCAAGCTGTCTGAATACAGCATACCTCTTTTGTCCAGTTCACCCATGCTAGAGCATGATGTTGGAGGAGGGCCTATGAGAGAAAGTCATAACATGAAGGAGAGAAGAAGGCGGTAAGAAATCTCCAATGCCTGGTCGGCCTTGACTTTGCTCTCACCTTAGTATTCCTGTCTAAAAATAAACTTAAAAAAATTCTGATGCTTTTTATGTTTAGTTGTGATCAATACAATTCTCATGTTTTATTTTAGGGCACGAATCAAAGATGCGTGCAATTTGATGCGCCAGCTTGTACCTGGTATGTCCAAGAAAACAGATAAGGCTACTGTATTTGAATTTTCAGCACGATACATCCATTTCCTCAAGTCTTTCGTTGGTGCCAATAATGATAAGGTGAGGTATTCACATTTAGACTAAACCATTTCATTATTTTGGAGGACAATAATCTTGCTTGAAAATTCAATAAATTTCATGTCAGTGGCTCAATAATTTCCTTTCATAATTCTATGGAAGGGAATGAAAATTAAATTATGGGATAACAAGAGTAGAAGTTACTCAAGGATTTGTCATCTTCATAAATTCAGGGATTGGTCTAGGTGCCACTGGTTGGTATCAAAGGAATCACTTGGTGGCATCGTTAACAATTTGAGGACACAACATTCACATAAATACCCAATAACTACACTACCTTTTAAAAGTTATCAATCAAAATTTCTTATAAAATTTGGATAATTTTGTAGCAATATCGATCCTGATAATCAGTTGTGTATATTTGATGTGTTCATTGCAAGTCACTGATTTGTTGTTTTTTTAAAACTTAATTTCTTTTCTAGATAACATCCTTTCCATTATAGTTATTTAATATAGTTAATTATGTTTTGACTTTTTTTTTATTTAAGTTGATAATTTTCAGTCATCCTATTTTCATTGAACAAAATCACATGCTGTTTTAGAAGTTTTTTAATTTGTTAGCAATAGAAATATTTTTTTGGTCCTCAGGACTTCCTTGTGAAGTACAATCCTTATTGAAGGCCATTTTTAAAAGTACACACTTGCTGGACCAACCAGGAGGTCCAAGTCTTACTGAACCGACCAGGAGGCTAAAACCTCTATTCAATCAGAGATGGTGATAGAAGATGCTAATTAAATTGTTCTACTGTAAAGTTGAATTGTACAAATTACTTGTTCTATTTATTTCACCCATTGTTTTATGTACATTTGTTTTTCTTTTTTCAACACAAGACCCTAAAATAATGTGTGATGTAAAATTACTGTGATTAAAGCCAACTTTATCCTCCTTCTGTGGCCTTTCTTATGTTTCTATTATGTGATTATGTATTCTAAAATCAACAGTTCTTATTGACACAAGAACTTACACATAAAAAATGTTCTAAAGGAAATTAAAATAGCTTCGAATTCATAAATAGTTGTTTGTCAGGGTAGAAAATAAACATTTGTTGATCATTTATTCAATGAAACAAGAAATAAATGTTATTTTTGTGAGTACATGCAGTTAACCATTCTACAAGCCAGAGACAAGTTTGAAGAAGAGACAATATAATTTTGTTCCTCTTAATTTTTTATTAGATTTAAACTATTGAGCTATTAAGGCTTTTTTTCATCATTGTCCACATAAGATTTTGATAACCAGATAAATGAACCACACCACAGATTTATTTGGTACCTAGAAACACATTTCCCCTTTGAAGAATCCATGTAAATGATCCTCATGACACTTTTTACTTTGCTACTACTAACAGCAAGTTGTACACCATTATTTGAATCAACCAGAAAAAAAAAATATAACAAAGCCTAAGATGGATGAAATTGTTTATTTTTAAAAACTGGTTTGTGATATATACAAGAGTTCTGCTTCCTGACAACATAAAAGAAATAACATTTTTCCTGGTACTTTCTCCCGTGTAAAGGAAATAAACGGTCTACACGCTAAATAATTCCTTTTCAATCATACAATTTGCTATTTCTATCTTGGACTACAGATACAAGTTAAATTTAGAAAACTATTATAATGAACTATTACTAAGTATAAACTTAATTGACATCCATCAAGCAATTAAACTTTCTGAAAAATTGGTATTAACCCTTAGTAACATTTTTCTTTTTATATTCACATGATGCTGTTTGTTAGGCCAGAACCAATTTTAACCTACATGTTAAAACAATGCAGAGAGGATTACATAGCAACAAAATAAATTCATGAATCATGTCCCCTTTTCTGCACACATTCTAACATGTTTAAATTTACATTCTTCTTAAATGCATAATAACCACTTTTAAAAGAAAATAGCAAGTTTAAAGTCAAATTTTTTAAATTTTTTTTTACCCGAATCAATAGCAATTTTGTTAAAATGACCTCAGAGGATGAATTTGATAGCAATTTATATGTAATTATTGATAATTCATCAGTTAATGATAGTGCTAGCTATAGTAATACAAAAGTAATGTGGATAGAAGGGGCTTTACACTCAATGCGCTGTGTGGATATCAAGTGTTAACTAGGTAACCATTTAGACAAAAGGAGACTGCTGCATAATTGTATTTTATTTGTCACATATCTGAGTTCAATACAAAATAATGTGTTCAAAAGAGCAACAATATACATTTTATAAGCATTGGTCATCAGCAACATTTTAAAGAGCTGTGTTGCCATGGTTTAAGCGGGCAAGAATGATGTATGCGCTTGACTAATATCCCTTCAATATGCTGTAATGCTCTGAGACATCTCCAATGACTTGTCCTGGTATGTCTCAATTTTTTTCCTTAATTCTTGATATATCTACAAATAATGAATACGACAAAATTTAAATATGGTTATTTGAAAAAAAAGTGTGTGGCTTAATGTAAAAAAAAAAAGTGTGTGGCTTAATGTAAGAAAAAAAAAGTGTGTGGCTTAATGTAAAAAAAAAAGGGTGTGTGGCTTAATGTAAAAAAAACTTCACTAAGATAAACGTGATATAACTATTTATGCAATACATATAGTAACTTTTACCATGTGAAGTGGGAAGAAAAAAAAAATTGGGGTCATTAAATTCGGACCATTGGGGAGAGGAATGTGTTACGAGTTTTTGGAAATTATTTATGAATGTAAAACATGAAGGCAAGGCTAAAAACACAACAGCACTACAGCATCATTTTTTAGAGTCTTTGCAAAATTGTGTGGAACTCTTGACCTGAGAGCCAGCCAATCATATCATCGAAAAACTTCTTTCATTGTATATCCTGTGAATGGTAAATTTGTGCTAACAAATTTTGTATGTCTTACAGGCCTGTTTGCATATGCCCAAAAACCACTTCTTGATTTTTAATGAGAACTACTTACACTGATATATGCACCATTCTGACTATCTCTTAGGGCCACCAGCAGTTGGTCCAAGCTTGTGTAGGGCACCCAAACACATAGAGGTGATGGCTTGTCTACACCCTTTTGGGAAATGTGATGTGTCAACAAGAGTTACTCCTAGCCTACAGTTGAAACTAATTTTTCACATCAATCCTTTAAGTAAACAGTATAGGGTTTTAAATATATCACGTTTTCAAATTAAAATAAGATTGTTGAAGCCACTTAAGGGGAGGTGTGGGTGAAAAATCTAAAATTTTTGTTAGGCTTCATATAGGATTTTTTTTAACTACACCTTATTTGGTATTGAAATGGAGGTACAAAACAGGTTTTTTAAAAAATTTTTTTCCATTGGTTGCCTTTGTAGCCCATAAAAACCTCCGCCATTTTTATTTTTTTAGTGTGTTTTAAAACACTAAGGCTTTTACAAATATTAAGTTATTGCTATCAGATTTTAAACATATATTATTTAACCTATAATAAAACTTTGTATAACAGGACTTTTTGATGTAATGACTGGTTATAAATTTACAGGGTCAGAAATTGTGACCCCATTTTTTATGCAAAAAATAGGGGTGTGGGTGAATTCATACTGTGAAAATTTGGTGAGGTTTGGATAATAAATAAAAAAGTTATAGGGATATTAGTGACCAAAAATAGTGAAAACAAGAAAACTGAAATAACGAAGAAAAACGACAAAAACAATGAAAATATCAATGAAAAATAAGAATCTTATACCAAAATTGGAATAAAAACTTTTTATTAGCCTATTGCGGACATTTTTAATCATTTTCCAGGTCCATTTTTCTTTTTTCCTGACCACTCAACTTTTCACTGTGATTGATATATTTTTATCTATTATTCTGTATTTGTCGAAAAAATAATAATTCGCTTATTTTGGAGAATTTCAGCATTATAAAAGTGTGCAAAATCATAAAATTAAGCTAGGTAAATATGCAATTCCAAAGAGTTATTTGGCATTGTCCATGAATGCTGAAAATGCAACTCTTATTCTTGTAAAGAAAAAATTGTAAGTTCTATGAGTTCTAATGACGGAATGAATATTGACAGTTGTAAATTTTCTGATTTCTATCTCACAACTTTTGAATCACTTGAGTTGCAACATGTATTTTTCCACAAAAGCATATTAACTGTTTTTTGTGTGAGCCAGAAAACTCATGAGCAATAACTCCATTGTAAAATCTAATTAGTTACTGTATCAAATTTTGACACTCGTCATGTTGAAAATCACATCGCAGAGAGATACAATGTTAAAATAAGGGAATTATTGATATGTTTCTTTCAACTACTGTCTTATTCTTTTTGTCCTTGAATAACACATAATGAGTTTTGTGATGTAATCTGTGTTAGTCTTCTCTTGCATCCTCTGCCTGAGGTTACTTTTATTTCGATGCATCGAACATATGTTGCGCCGAGGAATCTGAAACATTGGAATACACTTAGGGCACTCCTTCTTTTTCATGTGCATATTGTCCTTTGGGCTAAATGGACCTAGGCACAACAGATCAGTGTAGTTTATCAACAGGAAATATAATGCATGTTGTGGTTTGTTGTGTTCCGCAACCTCATTGCGCGTCTCCTCAATGATTCCTGAAAACAATAAACTTGTATTTAGATATTTTTATTAAATGCTTCTAAAAAAAAATATAAGGCTATAATGAAATTAATGACTGATAGGTCATACTTGTTGACACGTATTTCAAGCAAAATTTGTTAGGGCTCTTACTCTTACTTTACTTTA